CACACATCCGCATTGGCCAAATTCACCACCCACAACCCCCATACGTTGCAAGCATTTGTGCATGGTTTATAAATCCGACCGTTTGAGAACCCCCCCTGCTCCCCATATCGTTGTAGGTGAAATGCTCTTGCCAATAACACCTGGCAAGCCAGCAGCATTTGATTAAACAAGTCCGGAGCCGGCTGATGAGACCCAACATTTTCGAAACTGGCCCAGAGTGTTTGCTTGAACTTAAAAACAAATCCTGCCGGACAATTCTGGCCTGCAACGCCAAACATGCTTGTGGACTAATGTTCGTGAAAACACATCGTTTTTTTTTGTATTTTCTCCTGCTGCATATGGTTTGCACGTTCAATAATACAAATCTCTCCGTGCATTCACTTCTGAAGCTCGGCGAAGCATTTTCCCCGCAACCAACCCCACCCCCCTGCGTTGTTTAAAGCAAATGCACGCTTTATTCTGGACCGGTCGGTCATTCCCCAGATATTCACTTATCTGAGCGACTTTGCACTGCGTTCAACCCTTCTCGCCTGCTTCCTTCCCGACCCCTACGAAATGTTTGTGCACTTTTGACGTCAAGGGGGCAGGAGCAAGAAAGCTCCACGGAACTGTTGTTGACCCATCGTTGCGTGAGCAATCACGGGTTTGCCAGACTGATGCCGATGATCTTTTGTGTGAATGCAACAGTGGCATGGGAGGGAGACGGGGGTGATTGGGCGTGAAGTCGGGTGAAGTTACAGTATTTACAATCCGCGTTATAAAATGTGTACAATAAATACAAAGTTGTAAACAGGTGAAAAGAAAAGACAAAATGAAAACAACCGACAAACTCTTAAGAGAACTAAAAGGTTAAAAAGTGAAATTAGACGTGAGCAATCGTAGGCTCATTTTGGTAAGAAAATGTATGGCACGCACTTGGGTTAAAGGATTGCTGGCTTTAAGTTTGTGTTGTTGTTACCTTCACGTACACGTCTTGAGCGAAGTGCCAACTGAAACCCACGGATGCACAGTGTATGTTTTTACAAAAGTGCCAGCATTTTAATAAAAACAATAGTCAAAATCCACACGGTATCAAATTTAATTTGATCAAGGTGAGCGTCACGATATAATAATCGTGCAACAAAAGAGGCTACCCTTATTTAAATATGTATAGATATATGTATGTCTATATATATACAAATGTACAGTGCAAATACATAGTGTATATATATATACACGAACACGCATATATGGCGATAATATTCTTTGACACCAATGTAAAACCATATAATGCACGCTTTTATTATTATTCTTATATTTTGTGACGGCACACTCATTTTGAGCAAACACACCAATCTGGGTATTTCCCAAGTTCACACTGGGGCCGTGACCGATCATAATACGAGGACCCCCCCAGGGAGGGGGTCAGGTTGCATCATCGCCGTGACATCGCATGCAAAACTTGAGTCTGCACCGCCCCAGAGGATATGCAAAATAACAGGGAGTGGGGGGGGCGTTCTTCTTCATACGCATCCATTGCTCGTGACCTCTGATCGTATTCATTTTGTAAATACCGCACGGTTCGTGTCGTGAGCGAATTATTCGACGCAAGGTGCGAATGCATCAAAGGCCCACATCGACTACGATGCTTCTATTGCCGCGGTAATAACAATGATGATATTTCTGCGTCCTCTGTTTAAACAGACGAAAGCCACCACACAATGGAAATTCAGCTTGGGAAGCGAATTATTTGAATTGGGAAATCGTGTCAGGGCAATTATAGTTATTACCGAGAAGAAATTAATTGCGGGCACTGATCTTAATTTGGATTTGGACGACGACACTTGGAGCACGGTTTGCTTCCTCTCGAGAACAATGTCACGGGGTCTGTGAAATTCCACCAGTGCCTTGGGGTAATCATAATTTTGTCCAGAATACACCATCGGAGGCGTGGGCACTGAAGAACCAAAACCTGTGCGCGACTGGCCACGTGTCTGGCGCGTGGGCTGTAACCAGTGTTAATTTAGTCAGCGTTTCACTCGTTCCGTCATAGCCTTGATGAAGATGACAACCCTGCAGAATTTAAGTCGTCCTTTACAGTTTAGTCGACTCCAGCAGTCCAACGTTAGGTCACACATTTTCAGCTGTTACATGTCAATGTAAGAGTCGTCGTGGTTAGCGGATCCGTGAACTCGGCCAATCTGTTTATAGATTGTACATGGGCTGCATGGCTGGTTGCCATGCGTGGCCTTCCCCCCCCCCCCCCCCCCCGGTGCACTGAAGTCTGTAACGACGTCGCTAAATTATCATCTTCTGCCCCCTTCGTTAAATTGGTCTCGTTGCGTTCGGCCTTTGGTGGAGAGCCGCCCAGTCCGTCAACCCGGTCACACAGCTCCGCAGTCATCGTTGACCCGAAAACAAAAAAAAACCAACCCACACTTCGCCGACGAATACATTTCGTCGTGAAATATCGTAACCCCCCCCCCCCCCCCAAATAAAATTAACACTGGTTAACGCGAGCCACTCTGCAATAGTATCAATGCGATTTTTCCTTCTCGCTCTCTCTCGAAAAAAAAATACATCGACGCGCCGTGTCGAGAATCGACGAGACGATAACAAAAAGAAGCGGCGTGCGAATTCTGCTCGTGTCTCCGTTGCCTTCCCACGTCTCTCCCAGCCCTCTGGCTGCACCCACGGAATACTAATCACCCTCCAGCATCATCCTCCTCCTGCACCACTGGCCCCACGGGTTGCCATGGAGTTTTGGGGGGGGGGCCGTGCCGACGAGGGCAGCATCGTTCGAACGACTCGACACGTTCGTCAATAACACGTTGGGGGCCTTACAAGGGGGACACTATATACGATGACGCGCGACGTATAGGGCGACGGTCCTTCTCCAGTGCGCGCGAACGCTTTCATGCGCTCGCGAAGGAAGGGCCGCGTAAAATATGAGGCCACGGTGTTACTGACGAACGCGTCGAGTGCTTTGTCGGTGCCGTTGCTGCTGCTATTCGGGATTTTTGCACCGCTGCTAACTGGGCAGCAACGTCCGCCGAAAGATCCTTGCGAGGATTCGGTGTGCGCGTAAGGGCCGGGTGGTGGCGCCGTGAGAGCGTGCGAGTGGGGTTTTGTTGTTGTTGTTGTCAGCAGGGCCTTGGAAGGGTTCAGGGGAGGTGTCATCAAATATTCGCTGCGCACGAACAAAAAATATCCAGCGCGGTGATTTTTCTGCCCTGCCTTTTTGAATTTGCCTAGCCGCACAAACCGGTTCCAGCGGAACTCCTCTTATCCGTTGACCCTATTATCCGCACGCTCTCTCGTTATCCACCAGAGCTGTATGTTATCAGCACCCCATATTCTTATCCATCCGTGGCTTTTCCCCATCTTGCATCCCTGTGGGACAATTTGTCCTATTGGCAAACAATATTTTATTTTTTTTCCGTAGATTACCCTCAGTAAATGTAGAGATAGCATCGCGGATAATAGGATCCCCGTGTTGTTCGTCACCCCCCCACCAATAATCGCCGGATAAGAGGAGTCCTCACTGTAACGTAACACCCCTGGGCGGCTGATGTTGCACCACCGATCTTCCTTGCAAATAAGCCGGGACGGCCGACTGGTTAAAAACGGGACCATCCGTAGAAGCAAATTAAAATAAACTAAAATTTTTACTCGATTTGCCACTTGAGAATAAATGATGCGGCAGACGGCCCTGTTCCCCCCAGACTGGTTTCACGTAGCGAGGGCGGGGAGGGGAGGACTACGGCCGCCGGACGATGACGCTCTGACCTCTGAACCACGCCGGCAGAATCGCGACGTGGAAAACCGAGTGCTGCGTGCAGAGGGCCCATCGCGTTTGGTCAACTAAACAAACGAAAAAAAGGCCACCCAGCCGCCGTCATGTGAACACGAAATTCCCCAGATGTTCGACCTGCTGGTGTCACGGTCTACATGCACACGTTATGTATATATAGTGATATACTGTATATTCACAGGATCGCGCAAACAAACAGGAAAAAAAAACTCTCCCGTTCACGAATAACCGCAATTCCGACGACGTTTCGAGAACCTCATACGGCTCGTTCCCGTGTCTTGTGCCACGTCGTGTGCACCCCCCCCCCCCCCCCACTGCGTTCTGCGGTCGTGCAGACCCGTACGGAGCTATGCCCCGGGGCAGCGAGCGCTGCAATACGACGAGCAAGAGGCTCTCTTTCGTGTTTCCTCTCACCGTGAGAGTGTGAGAGACGTGTCTGTTACCCTATAATTGGACAGGTTTATTACATTAGGCACAATGTTTGCGACGGTTTGTGTTATAGGCAAAAAAATAGGCCTCCCCGAAACTCCGTTTGAAGTGTAAACATGAAAACACAACCGTGACTTCTTTACAAAAAAATTAATGAGGTGTGAAACTGTCGAAGTTTGGCATCCAAATAGGAAACATCTTGCGGTTTACTACTTTCTTTTTTAAACTTCCTTCTAAACGATGCACAGGAAATGTATTTGAATTTTCACATCGGTCGATGTATTTCCTTTCTACTTATGATCGTTAGATATTTTAAAGACGCAAATAACACGAACTCGATACTGACTAGTATTCATCTGTCCGCGTCGGTTTGGTTGATATTTCTTTTTCAGAACCACTGAGAATTAAAGTGCACTCAAGACGTCCCACTGCCCCCCACCATCCATCACCTTCATTCAATCATCTACTGGACAAGACGCACCAAAACAGTTCGTCAACAAGGCAAACGGCAAACCGAACACTGTCTAAACTTTGCCGATCGCTCCGTTTCCTCTCCCCGCCCAACTTCACAATTCATCCTGTATCAAGCGCCCCCTTCGCTCACAACCCACTTTGAGAGATAAACCTGTGTCTGTGCACGCGCGCGCGACTTTAGATCGCGCGCACGCACTTTACCCAATGTACAGCCTATTCCGATGGCATTGTCCACGTGTGTGTGTGTGCGCGCGTGCGAGTCTTGCGTAACCCTTACGAAAACAAACATGTCGGTAATAGCGCGCGCACTTGTCGTAGTGAATTTAATCATGTAGATTGGAATCGACATGTTGCCAAGATTAGATAGATGGAAGACAGATCAACTCATTCAGATCAGTACAACAGCAAAAAATGCAATCCGTTTTGGTACTTAGGTCATTCTCTTTGCATTATTAACGAGGTGGATGGGGGGTAAGGAACGATGGAACTTAAGTAATGCGATATCAAGCGAGCTATGACCAGTCGGAAAGAGGAGCAGGCAGATTTTTCTTAATACTTGGTGGACGTCAACTGGTAGCCTACCGTTCCCGTTAATACTTTCCCATCGCTCTGCTGTCTGGAGGGCCGTGGTAGTACAACATACCATACGTTTGTTTTGTGAACACACAAAAACGTCTTGCGTTGTCGCGAGGGACACAACGTACACTCAGTCATTTGTGGGAGGAGAACAGAAGATAATCAAAAGATCTCACTTCGGTGACCTCGGCATGAGAGATCGACAGCAAAAGCTAAAAATAAAGAATACGTGTCTTAAGTTATTGCAAACGTGGTAGCATGCTCACAGCTACCGTGAACTTAAAAGGTAAAAAGTGTAACGTCCAGTTTCAAAGGAAACCAAGGAACTCGATGTGTCATCGGTGGAGTTTATACAGAGGGTATGGGTAAACTGTACAAAACATCTCTTCGCTCTCTCCTTCACTTCCTCCTCATCTTCCCGCTCTTGTCATCCGACGTGGTCACAAGCCAACCGTGCCGGGGCGAGCGTTCACAAAAGAGGGCCTTCAATTTCACTCCTGGCCACGTCGCGCGACCGTCGGGACGATGGTCGGGCCGCGACAGAACCACGAGAAGGGACCCCCGCGCTCCTCCCCTCGTGCCAAGGCGGGCGAGGCGACTCCAGAAGCCACGGCGATCGCGTCGGCTCAACGGCGGCCCCAACGGCGGCGGCGGCCACAGCAACGACGACGACTACAACGTCAGTGGGTTCTCGGTCGTTTGGTTTTCGACGCTTGTCGGGGCGGGGGGTTCGGGGTTGCAAGTCGCCGGGAGTGGGGGGGGGCCCCGCGGCCGCTACTACGTGTCGGGAGAGCTGTCGCAAGACAGCGTCGTGTCCGACTGCGCCGAGTCGGAGACGCTCGCCGACCTCCCGCACGGTCCGCTGGCCATCGCGATGGACTTCCTCCCGCACACGGCGGCACGTGTCGCCCTCCGGCCGCCGCCGCCGCCGTAGCTGCTGCCACGCTCTGTCCCGTCCGAGTCAATGTCCTCGTCATCCTCCTCCTCGTCCTCCGCCTCCTCGTCCTCCCCGACGTGGCCATCCTCCTCCTCCTCCAACGTGAGCTCGAACTGGAAGCGGTCGGTCGTCGTCGCCGGCGTGGACAGCATGCTGATGACGGACGGCGAGGCGGTGCCCGCCGTCGACACCACCGCGGTCGAGTTGGTCCCAGGCTCGAGGGAGTGACCACCGCCACCTCCGCCACTACCGGGTCCACCGCCGCCGCCACCGCCGCCGCCGCCATCGCCCGACCCGGGCATCATGGGGGATTTGTGGGTCGGCGGTGGGGAGGGCGTGTCGGAGATCATGCTCTGGTACCAGTCGCGGTTGTCCTCCAGCGTGTCGAGGATGTCCTGGGCGTCCGGGTGCACGAGGTCGCCCCACGTCTCCCACAGCGGGTGCACAATGTAGTCGATGAAGCCGACCTGAGCGTGGGGCAGAAGAGATAGACGGGCACTGTGAGACCATCGCCATCATCGTCATCACCATCATTGGCCATCGTCTACAATAAAGTAGTCCTGTCACCATCATTATCGTCAATTATAATATTTTTTTTATCTTATTATTTTTATTTTATTTTTATTTTAGATTTTTTTTTTCTATTTATGTGACTTTACCAAATGAACCAAGAATATGAATTCCTGCAGTCACGAAAGTTAAGTCGAAATATAATTATTATTTTCATTGTCATCAATCAAGCGCTGTTATAGTCATCATCATCATTATCATGGTCATCAAAATATGCTGTAACAGCCACAAAATAATCCTTGTCACTGATATCATCACTCATCAACATTATCGTCATCATCACCATCATCCACCGTCATAACTCAACCACCAATATCATCATAATTGTCATCATCATCAAGACAATCTGCAACAGCATCAGGATGATCACCATGATCATGTTAAATAAATCATTGCCATCTTTGTTGGAATCGTCATCATCATCATTTGAAGCAAATGAAGAATATGATTTATTACCACAATCATATTCACAAATCATCATCATCCAAATAATCTACTTTTTCAAGGTTAAAAAAATAATATGGTGATGCTGCTGCTGTGTTGGCGCCCGTGGTGCACAAGTCCAGCTAACAACAAAAATACTCAGCACATTCGTCAATAACACTACATGTGTGGCCTTAAAATTAAGAAAATATAAAATAAGCGACGTTTCGGGAAAAATCCTCCACTCTTTCCAAATTTCGATTTAAAGCTTTCGTGACTGCAGGGATCCATCTTCTTGGTTCTTTCGGTAAAGTCACGTAGAATGGAAATAATAAAATAAAAAAAATATTATTTTATGTTTTATTTTTATTATTTTATTATTTCCATTCTACGTGACTTTACCGAAAGAACCAAGACGATCTTTCCAAATTGTTCGCTCCATGCGTTGACAAAGCCGCCCGATGAGCGACACTCCCGACGAGAGACACGCGCACGCCGCACACGCACACGAGCAACGCCCGGAAGGGGATTGTAGCGTTCGGCGAGACCCACTGCGCTGGCGACGAACGCAGATCCAACAACCTTCGATCGTTAATTGGAACCCAAACGCACGCGGGCTGATTGCCGTAAACGAATGCAAAACGTTCTCGAACTGATTGAGACAAATGAACGGCGAACACATAATGTACCCGAGGCTCGTGATTTGTAAATGTAAATTGGTCCGCAAATTTGCATACGCCACAACATGTGCTCCCTCAAAACATCTAAAACAGACACCGCAGGAACACGGGACGCGTGTCATTTAATACATCGACTGCACGCTGCCACGTGGGGTCGATTTTTTTTTATTGCTGCCCCGCACTGAAGGTAATGCAAGGTTGCGTCAACACAGAGTTCGTACACATCTCTCCTCCCCTGGAACAGACGGCACCTTGTTTAACACAAAGGTGCAGCATTGCACATTTCACGTCGAGCACCTATGCCGCGCGCATACTGCCTCCGGCGTAATGATTGGCAGAACACTGGACCTGCAAAAGCCAGGCGTCGCTGGTTCGATTAGATCTTCAGGCACAGCAGTTGAAACAATGGGGCCAAGTTTCTAAACACCCATCCCCCCGGAATCACCCCCCACCCCCAGCGCCCTCTGTCCATCCAGCAGTGTAAATTGTTTCGCCAAAGTTAAGTTCGTCGATCGGCAGGTAAAGCGTGGGTACTCCCACCTCTTCCAAGACGTCTGGCCGACGTGGAAGAGTAGGCCAAGTTACACGGTAAAAGCGTTTTCTAAAGCTCCCCCTCGTGGAGGCCCTACCACCACCAGCAGTGGAGTGAGAAATTAATAGCATTATTTTTATTTTATATTTTTCCCCAACTTATTACTTTCTGTGTTTAGTTTGTTGTCCTTCTAGATTTGATTCTAGATTTGAAGTTTTCGTGACTGCAAGGATCCATACTCATTGGTTCTTTCGGTAAAGTCACGTAGGTGAAAATAAAAATAATATCGCACCTCTGATTACCACTATCCGGCGAGGCGACGCAGAGTTATTAAAATTAACAAAAAAACCCACATCCAGGCATTGGCCCTTCTTCATGGCACGTTTGTACCAATTGTAATCGTTCGAGCTGCGCTCAGACCCCACGCCAGAGGTCGCAAACGGGTTTTGATTCCTTACCCGTACCCGTACTCGTCCGCACCAGGGTCGCAAACGGGTACCCGTACCCGTACCTTGCCGTACCCGTACCCTACCCGTACCCGGCCGGGTACGGGTAGGGTACGGGTATCGGGTACCTGATTGCGAACTCTGGGATGAAGCCATGTTGCAGGCACGGGTGGGTTGATTCTAGGAACTTGAATTGTGAGAAGAGTCAAGACGTTGGGAAATGAGTGACAAACGGTTACTCACCAGTGACTCACGGCCTACCCGTACCCGGCTGCACCAGGGTCGCAAACGGGTACCCGTACCCGGCCGGGTACGGGTAGCCGGGTATCGGGTAGGGTACAGGTATCGGGTACCCGGTTGCGACCTCTGCCCCACGCGCACCACCACCACCGCGGGGCGCTCGGTTCGTCACCTGTGACTTTTCGACGGAGGCGCTGTGCTTGTCGCACATGGGGCTGATCTCCATGCCGCGCTCGCGTTCCCGGTCGCCCTGCCGGAAGAACTCCTCCATGATGCGCTCCGTCCACTGGCGGTAGACGTCCAGCGGCTTGGTGGGGTTGCTCAAGTCGGCGCAGTGCACCATGTTCTGCAGGACCTGCGATGCCGCCGCCACCACCAAAGACAAAGATCCCCCGTACAGTTTTAACAGACTGTTGGGGCAGGTACTGTTAGCTGGCACGTATGAAGGCCGGCACGGCACACGAGGGGGTGGGTGACGAATACCACGCCCGGCCGCATTCGTCTCCCTAATGTCGATGTTTGCACACTGCATCAGGTACTAGTTTGAGGCTGAGTTTACCTAGGGGAGGCCCAAGACTGGTTCAGATAAACGCCACCTGGTATTGGCCACGAGCGGGAATCAAATTCGGGTCAGCACGTTAACCGCTACACTACACCACCACCACCACCACTATACTACCGCCACCACCACTACACTACCGCCACCACCACCACTACACTACTGCCACCACCACCACCACGATATTCCCCATGAGCCACGTGGTGACTCGCCCACTTTGCCACCGCTCCCCCCCCCCACTCTCTCTCTCCAGGCATCCGATACCGAAAATAGATGCTGCACAAATCCAAAGTGTAATTCACTTTCAAGATTCAAAGTTATTGTTTAATCCAGGGGAGAACTCAAGAGGCCAGGGTATGAATGTTAAACACATGGCTATACAGCGAACGTCGGCTCGGGGAGATTATTTTTAGACCAATCATACAGCACAATTACAGATTAAGTTTCAGGAATATCAATCAGATATTGGGTGCCGAGTGGGACTAATATATAAACATATTTCCCACACCTCCGATTACCACGGTTGGCTACGTATGGCCGTGAAAGAAGTTCAACATACATACAGACAAGGATGTGTCAAATGCATTTGCTTTTAATTGCCGTAAAACAGATCCATATTAAGCACGAATCCCATGACGAACGCAACTAATAAAAAATAAACACGATTCCTAACGCGCGAATACGTCACGAATCGGACAACAATGTTCGATCGAGAAATTCTGCAGGCGAGCAAAGCAAACTTCAGCGGCCCTCCTCTATCGTACACGGCTCTCAGTGGGCGCTCAGTCCTCACCTGTATCCTGTCGGTGTAGTTGTCCAGCAGGAGAACACCTGAGGACGTCACCTTCTTGGTCTCCACCATCGTCTTGAGGTCAGCCAGGAGGTTCATGTGCTTGGACATGTCTGTGGCCAGAACCTGCACATGAGGACACACACGTTTTGTATTATTTATGTTTGTTTAAACCTTAGTGCGTATGAACTCCGATAGAGATCTGTCATTTATACGGATCTTGTAAATAGTTTAATGAGTATAATAATAATGTTCAGCGCTTTGTCAATACACTGCTAGACTTTGGCCTCTCCATGCTGTGTCTGTCATGAGGGTTGTTTGACCATACTTCACCACGGTGGTCAGTGCAGGCGGGTAAAAGCGCGAGAGGGGGGTGCCAGGACCTGGTTCTGACATAATTCGCCACGGATGTTAGCCATGTCCAGGAATCAAACTCAGATTTTCCTGGGTTTATAGTGAAATGCGCGAACCACTGCGATCTCTACACCCACACCACGTGGGCACACGTAATAAAACCACCCTGTCAAATTTTAACCAATACGACCCCTCATTAGAAGTGTCAAGCCTCAACTTGTGACCACAATATAATGTAAAACAAGCCCCTCGGGGGTTTTACCTGGCTACAAAAATGTATAATTGTGCGAATAAGCGAGCGATTGGGTAAGCACATTGACGGAGAATGGAATAATGTAAAGAGAATGTCATGTGCTTAATGGATGGATGGATGTGAGAATGAATGGATGGTTGGATTTAATGGTTGCACGCGGCACGGTGAGTGGTGCTACTGCAGAGCAAGTCGGCGGTCTCCGAGTGAACATTACGGACGAAAAGGCTAACGGCCCCCAACTGGTCACGTGCCGAGTTCACCGGTCGGGAAACAAAGGCCACATTGTCAGGTGTTGCGACGGCTGCGATAGGTGAACTTTTTTTGAAATCTGGCGCAAAGAACAAATAACAGGCTGGAGAGGCCGAGTGCAATCTCCTACATATCTCGGCAACAACAATGGCCATCATATCTGCCCTGAACAATAGCGCTGCACGCGCGTTTATACAGCGCGTGTACGTTTACGCTCGCGTGCATGTGTGCGCGCGCGCGCGCGTGTACTTCAAAGAATGGGCGTGTGTTGGGGGGCTTTGGGGAAAGCAGTTTATGTGACCGTGTGTAAAATGTAAATAGAGATGCCTCTGTTTACCCGAACAGACCCAGCACTGTTAGCGAGCACCTATTAAGGCCGGCCTTTCACACTGGGCGTTGGTTTGACCAACACCCCTGCGTTCCCGGTCACCGCTGACCGTTTACCGCTGCACAAGGGCTTACTCACAATTTCAAATGAGTTTGTGAAAAGGCAAAGCCCGGTAAACATCCAGACACTAATTTCCACCCGTGTTTTACGGCTGGTAATTGATACATGAGAGATATTACGGACCTGAGTTGGCTTTAGACCTGCTTGACGGAAGAGTACCTGATCTCAAACTAAACTAAACTATTTTTATTTTACCAGATACAGCCCACTGAGCTATATAGCGCTTTTTTAGAAGCGAACTAGCCACAAATGATAGCTCAATGACGTGGCTAGTCACGTGGAAATTTCTAGCAACCAAATACTTTAAACACGTTGATTATAAATGTGGAGGGAAAAACCGGAGGAACCGGAGAAAAATCCACGCGACCATGCGAACTCAAAATATACAGGCGTCAGGGTCGGAATTTAATTTACGCCCTCCCGTATACCAGGCAAGGTAGTTAACATCTTACCACCGTGGGCACAACGGTGGCATTCCTGGAAACCCCGTCGTAAGTGGGATCGTCGTAATATCAAACTCTATTTTCCGCATAGACATTAGAAACAGTAGTAACAATACGAGTGAATGTTTAACTCGGTTTAGTTGTTAAAAATCCACAAAAAACACTTGAGAATCACAAAAGCTCCATGCCAAGTCACATCGGAAACCAGACTGTTAAAATGTGTTTGGATTCATGTCGGAAGACGCTTCGTTAAAAATGCATGGCGTAAATGTGGCTCGTCACAGATCGGAACCGTCGTAAACTGGAAACCGCCTGTATTATCGAGTATGCCAGAGTTGAGAGTATTACTAACCAGCCTGTGACCTAATTGGTTGAAGAAACATCGGCCCGCCCCGCCCCCCGAGTACGGAAACAACCGTAGGCCACGCTCGTCTGCGAAACACGGCCCCCCGTTTGCGACAACCCCCTGCGCCTCGAAACGGACCGATCGCTCGATTTTCATTCGACCGAATTCTTCCTCGGCACGGAGGCCACGCGAGGCGACACTCACCATGTCGATGACCATCTTGCGCAGGGTCTGCCGCTGCTTCTTGCTCAGGTTCTGGAAGATGTCGCAGTTCTCCTCCTGCAGCAGCTTGAAGCCCACGGCCAGGTGGTGGTTCTCCAGCACCGACTCGTCGTTGTACATCAGCGCCAGCTCCGAATCTGCGAGCACGCACGCACGGAGATAGTCCCCCCGTTTAAGCCTTGAACAGGTGGAGTGGGGCCGCCTTTGTCTCTCGATGCTGTTACACGCTGTGACAGGTTCTCATTTGAGGTTGAGTCGATCTAGAGGGAGGCCCAGGACCAATTCAGACAATCCTCACTGGTGTTTCTGGCCGGGAGGGAACTCGGGGCACCGGGTCCGTAGCGCAGGGCACGAATCACCATGCTACCGCTCCCCCAGACTGCACGGGGACTTATATACTCGCTTCATCTGTTCGCAAACATGCGCGTGGATGCATGTCACTGGACATAACCAGTGACGTCGTATGTGCGTGCGTGCAACAGGCCACATTGCGACGTGCCACACTGTCAGCGGAGGCCAACATTTTCGGCCCGAACTCCGCCAAGAAATTTTACCGGTAAAACGGCAACACGAGAACGCAGATTGGAAACGTGAAGAGCTACATTGGTCGTGCGCAACGCAAGCGGCGGATTGGTCCACCGCTTTCAGAAGCACGTTTTACATGCCGACTTCATCTCACACCGCAAAGCTTTTAAGAGCTGAACATAGAAAAGTCCCGGGTAGAGGTCAATGTACGGTGAACTGCTCTTTTTTACCGAGTCCAAATAAGCACATGGGAGAGACATAAAAGGAAGGAAATGTTCCGTAACGCAAAGTGACAAAAAAAACAACAACAAAGAAAACAAAATAAACAAACTTAATTTGCGGAGTTATCACTTTTGCAAAATGCCACGTGCTGGATCATGGGGCAAAGGTGCGCGTCGAGAAAGGAACGATGATTTAGGGTCTGCCCGCTTAGAGCGAGGAAGGGCAATAATTCTCGTCTTTCAGGTACCGATGCAGCACGGCTTTTCTCTCCGACCAATCGACGGATGTCGCGTTTCGTTCGTTTTATAATTTCACCAGTGAACAAAGGAGTGAACACAAAAGCCGGACTGCATTTTAGCCCACGAGAATTTAATTGGTCTCCTGTAGCTCTAGCCCAGGACTTGCTGAGTGTTGTGTGGGGACAACAAAATGGGGCCAGATATGTTTATTTAACGCACAAGTTGATAACTTAACTAGCTAACACTCTCATGTGTTGAATAAAATGTGGCAGATAATTAATTGTTTTTCTGGTGAGGATCGAGTGACGATTTTTTTTCTATTTACTTACGACGATTACAAAAATGGAATAATGAATTAACAGAGAGATCGGGGCACCTTCCCCGACTATAATTGCACGACTCCGAAGCCGTGTCTATTTGCTGTCTGCTATCTTGCCAGACGGTTCAATAGCAGACGGTCTATTTTAAAGCATGCTGTCAAGACTGCGTTTCCCCTCTACCCCTCCCCCCCATCCATTATGGAACTTTTGATTTTGTCGAACGTTAGTGTTCCCGTTTCTTTATTCGTTTTACTTCGCCACTTTTTCGTGAAAAGTGCGTTCATGCTAATGTTTTTGTTTTTCATTTCAAGATGCAAACACTTCTTAAATTGCTCGAATAATAATAGTAAATAATACAAATATAACCCGTAGAAATAAAGTTTTTCACTATAAATCCTTTATATGCGTGGCGGCTAGAGTCCTCTCGTCCTCTGGCTTGAGATGGCTGCCACCTATGGGTCAGATGATTGTCTGCAGTATTAAACAATTGGTAATTAAATATTTAATTTGTTTTCCCTAAACAGTGTAAAATTTTGGAAAAAAAATTTCACGAACATCAATTGTCTCGCACAACGAGTATGTGTGCAAAATGTCAGCTCGATTGGATCACGGGAAGTGGGTTAAAAAACGACCGAAAGATTTGCACGGTCGTAAGCAAGCAAGCAAGCACGCAAGCAAGCGAACTTAATATAAAGGATTTAAAAAATAATTTCAATCCCTTGGGTCATCATTCACTGCTGGACAAACGGGGACTCCTCATGCCAAGTTGACCACAGACAGCAGTCGTTTGACCATACTTCGCTACACTCGCCAGTGCGGGGTTGGTGAAGCACAGCACCGGGTGAGACGTGACTCGTCCCTTGACGTTGGCCATCTCCGGGAAAAGGATCTCGGGTCACAAGGTTCACAGCGTTGACCACTGCACCATCGCCCCACTTCAGCAATTGTTTCTTGCTGTGATTGTCCCACCTGATGACGGACGCTTGTGTTGCGCCCAAAACGTCGTGATTTAATTCATTTTATTTTATACCTACGTGACTTTACCGAAAGAACCAAAGAGTACGGATCCCTGCGGTCACGAAAGCTTCAAATCTAGATCACTCCACTTCATCGACCCGTGCTTGCGCTTAGTTTAAAGAATAGTCAAAAGGCTCGCAAATCTTTCCTTGCTACGTGTTCATAGATGTGACTGCAGAGACAAGTCCAGCGGTCCATGTGACTCGGCATCAAGTTCTAACAAGCGGTTCACAAGAAAAATGTCTCTGTGAATTAGAAATATCCCTGTTCGGTGAGTCATGGCTACGTGTGTTCTTGAACACTGGGCACTCACACGGGCAGGCACCGCGGTTCAAGCTTATGCATTGGACATCCATCGATCTGAAGCCACCTATTTTTAGGTTGTTCAAGGGTGTCCGTGATAGCTGCGCTGCATCACACAGATTGACCAGTGCTAAAATTAGAAAGTGCTAAAAAAAGAAATTACAAAACCTCACCTCTTGATTCCATGAAAAAAAACGCCTTTTAAACTTTTTTTTGTTTTAACAGGAAAGTCCCACTGAGATGAATAGCTTGCTTCCAGAAGCACCCTGGCTATTACAAATGATGTCTCAATGAAGTGGCTAATTGCATGGAAATTTATAGCAGTCAAAAAACTGTGAAACCGGTTGTTTTTACATGTGGAAGGAAAAACTGGAGGAGCCGGAGAGAAATCTCAAGCTCGAACCCACGATCTCCTGTATACCAGGCGAGGTAGTGAACATCTCGCAACCGTGGCGCCCCATATATTTAGTCGAAACATAGGCTTAATTCATTGTTCGTGACGACGTGTATGGTGCGAAAGGGGAAGTGGTAGTGATGATTATCTGTCCCTTCCCTAGGTCGACTCAGCCTCAAATGAGTACCTGGTGTGGTGTGCAAACATTGTCACGAGGGAGACCAGTGCAGCCGGGCGTGGTGCTGGCCACCCACCCCCTCGTGTGCCTTGCCGGCCTTCACAGACGCTCGCTAACAGCACTTGCCCCAACAGCCTGTTTGGGCAATATGACGCGAGGACAACTTACTGGTGTTGATGAGGAACTGGTTGGACACTCCGGGGTGATCAACGTCGTGAATGGCGCTCGCGAAGATGGCCGCCAGGATCTCGAGGTCGGTGAACACGGCCTGCGGGGAGGGCGAGTGGGCCGAGAGGAGCGCGACCGTTAGCGGTGCGCCAAAAATAAAGCTCGCTCCGTGGTCAGATCGCTTATTATCCCATTTAAACTCCCCGGTTCAACGTTACGTTTTACAGGAAAGTGTGATTGGTCACCGTGGCTATGAGATTCGTTGCTGTTGGATGCTTGCTCCGTGCTAATTCACGCCAATAAGTTGTCTCTTTACAGCGTCTAGAGATGCTTACGAGACTAAGATGCGACATCAAAGCAAATTATGATTGCGTCAAGATGGTGAGACGGTGGCAAAACACCGTTTGTAGCACATGTAACAGACATTGACCAATCGTTCGGCTCAATAATATGGAACAGGGCACCGCGAACTAGTGCACCGCGTGTTACATAAAAAGAAGTTTCAAAATAACTGTCGCCATAGTCTGTGCTAATAATAATTTAGTACATTTGGTAATCGTGCCATTCTTATAGTGCGAGGCTATCACGAAGGTGCTATATTTCACAGACAGTCTGCAGCAGTTTCAAAGTAGGCGGGGGGGGGGCGGGGGAGATGTCTGCCATTTGCAATCCCAATAAAGTAATTTGCGGTGTTATTTTTTTCAAAAGCGGAAAATAAATTCAACCACGATGCCCCCGGCACACGACGGCCGACCCCCTTTTCCAATGACGTCTCACGGGGATATTTTCACGTACACTGCCACGCAGACGGCGCCACGTTTTCATTTACCGCTAACGTGCCCGCGGCGATAACCAGGGCGGCCTGACGGACACGAACTGCGAGCCTCTGCTGCGACGAGCGGTGCAAAACGGCTCCTAACGGCGCCGCATCGCGTCCCCCGATAACACGGCACGCGGCTCCCCCCCCCCCCCCCCCCCCCCGGCGAAATGGCAGAACGCCGCCGACGCCGCCGCCGGCGTGATAACCCGTCATCGCGACACGAGGCGACGTCGCGCGTAAGGAGCGGCCCCTCACGTCGAGTGCGGGCGTGGAGAGCAGCACGTGCGTAGACTGCGCCACGTCAGCGGCGTGCAGGTTGTTGTGGTAGGCGACGTCCGCGTGGTAGTGGTCCTCCAGCGTCATCATGTACGTGATGAACGTGTCCACGGGGATGCGGAACGTCTTCAGCAGATCCCGCTCCTGCCCGGGTTCAAGGGAGGATGTGAGTGTCCCACGTGTCGGTGTTTGGAGTGGTGGGCGGAGTGGGGAGGGGGCTATGATGCTTCGTTGTTGTCGTGGCCACTTTGGCCGTCGTGCGTGTCGGTTGTTTGGCTACTCCCCCCAAATATTTTTAGATAAACGGCAGAGACACACTGGAAACATTTGAGTGCGTGCGTCCGTTTATTCAGTCATTCAAGCAAGCATTCAATCGTTGATTAATGCATTCATTTATGCAATCATTCATCATATCCCCGCACTCATTCACCCATGCATTTATTAATTAGTGCATCAATTAATTGATACATGCACCTCTTTATGCATTCAACCATTCAATTATTCATGCATCCATTGATGCAATCATGCATTCATGCATTTATGAATTCATTAAACCATTTATTCATTAATTCAGCATTGCCATTAGGAACAGTCCTTGGCTTGGGCAGGTTTTCATTCAGAAATTGATAGATCACAGCTGGTGCTGATGATGATTTTTTTTATACTGCACACTGTTGTGAAGAAATCTGTGTCACATGAATGATTCCATAACTTATCAGTGACCAGCGATCACTGAAGTTAACTTTTTTTAGTTTCAAAGGTTCCGTTGCGATGAAGCTTGCCACAAATGAACGACAATACCTCGCTGATCTCACACAAACTTTACAATAACAGATCGAGGTCAAGAGGTCATCATGGCCCAAAGCCGATGATGCCACCACCAAAATTTCACTTTTTTTATTTTACCTGTTAAGGGCTCACCGAGTTTCATAGTTCTTTTTCAGAAGCGACCTGGCTATCACGAATGATAGCTCAACAAAATCGCTCATCACGTTGAAATTTACAGCAGCCAAAATACTCTAAATCTCCACCTCATTGCCAATGCGTTCTTCCTTCTGCCAGATCCCGCAGCTGCGGTAGATACACAGCGATCTCCGCGGTCTGCCCTGACAGCACCACGACATCTGAATTTAGGTCTTCCGCTCGGTTGCCCGGACTCGTGGAGACCACTCCAATGCCGGTCTCGATAATTGGCCTCCTGGTTACCGAATGAGCTTTGAAAGCGTCAACTTGATGCTTAAGGCATCCAAAGCAGGATCCTTTTTCAGAAGGATCTTGCTTTGAATGTTTGGTATATTCCTGACCAAAGAAACCCCACAAACATGAGGGAGATAACTTTAACAAAAACTCCACGTGTGAGTTAGCACTTTTCTCCCTTCAACAAGTTGCCACCAATGCTGAATGTGCCGATAATAAAGACAAAGATCCCCCGAATAGCCTGAACAGACTGTTGGGGCAAGTGCTGTGAGTGAACACCTATAAAGCCCGGCACGGCATACTAGGGGGTGTGCCGTGCCGCACCCGATAAACACACACTGCCGCGTCAAGACGAGACTGAGTGGCAACGCAGTATCCAATAGTTTCATAGATTTAGTAGAAGTATAGGGGAGTGGAACTTATCAGGAAATGGGGGGGTAAACTTTGAGAATCCCATCTGTAAGCTGACCAATAGGAACGGTTCGCTGGCAGGGCACCCACTGACTACCAGAGTGAGCCTGGGCCCCAGTCTGCCACCGCCGGTGCATCCAAAGTGCGAGGCCTAAACCTGAGCGTGCGTCATTGACACCTTGGCACGACAACGATAATGGACCAAAGAGTCCGCGAGCGTACCTGGAAGATGGCGTACATGACGACGGTGAGCGGTCGGTTTTGCGAAAACTCGGCCACGTGGAAGATGTTCAGCCCCCACTTGTTGACATCGTCCAGCTCCTGGCGAACACAAAGCACGCGGGGGTCAGAGGGCGCCGCATGAGAACATCGCAAACCAAGACAAATGCAAAGATCCCCCGTACAGGCAACACACACGGCCGAGGCAAGTGCCTGTTAGCGTGCAACACCGAAACAAAAGAGTCGCGTGGCCAGCACCGTGCCCAGCCGCCTTTGTCTCCTCAGTACCAATGTTTACACACCACACTCGATTACACATTTTGAGGCCAAGTTGACCTGGTGGAGGTCTAGGGCCAGTTCAGATATTTCTGACTGATATTTCAGAGTGATTCTCATCCGGCAGGGCTATAGACTCACATCTGGTTTGTGGCAATCTCAGTGGAAAAACATGTTGTTAAAATGATGTTCATAATGATGACACACAAATGCATTAATTCCTATTTTGAACAGAACACAATTACAATGAAATTCGCTTGAAGAAATGAGGTTTAGTTTTTTTTTTCCTACGGGCAATGACGTACAAAAGTGGCTACTGACGTACGACAGTATTTACAAAACAGTAAAGCAGGTATTGGTAAGTATTAAGGGATTGAATTGGCAGCAGTGCATAACACAAATAATAAATAAATAAAATTACTCGCCACATTCGACATTAGCCCTGCCGATGTCAAGAAAAAAAACATCAATATATAATAGGCTAACCTTCTGCAAAAGGGGCCAGTGGCCAAAAAAACATTTAGTTTATTACAGATTTGTTTCCGTTCTAAAAGGCAGTGCTGTAATGACGAACGTGGCAATTGTTTTTCTTGGGGGGGGGGGGGGGTTATTTCTTTGTTTGGGATTTGCGGTTTTTCAATAAAAAGGAACGGCAGAAAGTGACCCGCAGAGTTTGGCAGACGGGGGGAGAAAAAAACGTGGCGTGCAATAGGAGAACGAGGCGGGGACAGCCGCATTCACACCACCGGGGGGGGGGGGGGGGGGGACAGGACAGAGAGGCAACCGAGACACGAGAACTGGGACAAAAAACGCGCGCACGCACAAAAGCAACCGGGACGTACGGGAACGAGTGAACAAACACAGGGCAGAAAAGACTGTCGTAATCTCGGTCTAGGATCGGCTGCCCAGAACACGTTGATGTACCCGGCACACCACATCCAGTACATTTCTCGCCGCTGACTGCGACTAAGAAGTCACGTGCAAACCTACTCCAGTTCAGCAACAACTTCAAGATACGATTGAGTGAGACGTGACACCCTGGGCACGTGCCCAGGGTGTATACGCGACCCTGTAGTGTGACCTTGTTTAATAAAGGGGCATAAAAAAGAAAGCTCTCAGTGCACACAGCCAATGCTCTCTTTCCGTGTGTACGATAAATGGAGTGATGCCTTTTAGACTTTTAGCAGCGGGGTTGAGTCTTCAGCAGGGGCGGAGAGGGGGGGGTTAGTCCCCTCCAGCTCCCCAATATTACGGGGCTGCGATTACACAAGAGCGACTGGCACAGACGGGCACGTAGACACAACGGCGACTGGGAGAGACAGGCACACGGAGACACAGGAGTGACCGGGGCAGGCGGACAGGAAGCTCACCATGGCCAGCGTGTCCTCCTGGTCGGTCTTGACGCCAAAGCGCGGGATGGAGGCGTGCGTGAGGCTCGAGCTGTGTGTGAGCTTGCGGACTCCGCTGATGTGCGACATGGGCTGTCGCGACTTCTTCTTCTCCTTCTCTTTGGTCGTCGTCGGCGCCGGAAGTTCCACCTCATGCTGCTTGTCTGTACGACGCAGCCGTTACGCACAAACGGACACAGACGCAAAGGGACATTAATAAACCGTCGCGGTGGTAAGAGGGGGGAGGGGGGGCGGGGCACGGTGCCATTAGCAATTCACCATTGATTTATGGTTCAGATCCCGTCCGGAAAATGTGTGTCGTTAAACCCTCCGCTGCTCCGGCAAAAGCCAATCGACGGTGTTATCACGTGGACGAACGTGCCAATGTATCACCGCTTCAGCGCACCGACACGTATTTTCTGCTCACGAAATCCGGCACCAACAATCGACTACGAGTCACAGAGGTGGACGTGTTGAAATGAGCTGTGAGCGAGCACGTGTTCGGTCTGGGCACGGTGGGTGATGTGGCCGTCACCGACGATGCCGCCTTTGCCCGCCCAACTGCCGATGTTCACACGCCTGCGGCGTGTACTCCCTGAGGGGGGAGCCTATGACCGGTTCAAATATCATTCGCAAACCAATGTTAGATATGGCCGGGTTCAATGCCACTAGCGTGGTGAAGTAGGGTCAACCGACCCCCATGACCCACGCGGCATAGGAAGGGGCCTTCCTGAAGCACTGCTCTCTGGTGTAAAATCAAGAACAGGGTTGGCATCGGGTAACAAGATTACGGATTTATTTTAAACAAATGCATAAAATGAATTCATATTTAACCGAGACGAGGAGGCGGTGGCGGCACACTCTTGCACAAGACACGTCAAACCCACTGGCGTGCGTGCGTTACAATCCCATAGTCGCAGAATGTTCGTCGCAGGATATCCGCGCACACGCGGCGCACACGCGGCGCGCACACGTGTGCACGCTGCAACGCCGCACCTTGCATGCGTGTGCCCATGCATGCAATGGAAACACACACCTATGACATCACACGGCAAGGGATTTCCTATGACGCACGCTTACACTGGTACGCGTGGCCTCATGGGGCACGCTCATCCAATCAGTGGAGAGCACATCCCCTCTAAGCGAGTCTCCTGGGATGTCAACCACCGACATCTTTTAAAATAGAGCCCTCCCCCCACCACTTCACCACCACCCGCCCCCGCCCCTTCACCTCCCACAACATCTGACAGCTGATTCACATTTTCGCTGTGGCGCAGATATGCCAATAATAAGCGTGGCCGTCTAGAAATGTGTCCGACTAGGCCGCCGTGTGACATCTCCTTTAATAATAATAAATAATCATAACCACGACTTGGGTAGCACCGTAACATGGCAAGCCATCACTGTCACAGCATTTGCAGCGATCGCCTTCCCAGCATCACCCCCACCCCAACCCCCAGCTGCTTGGCGTTAATTGCGAACGTGGTTTAGCTCTCCGATGTGTTTTCGAGTTGAGCGGCATGACGTCCGACGTTTCGCTCCGCAATGCCGGCTGGGAGTTCCTTCAAACGACATCAAGAAATTCAGTTCCGGAAAACAAGCACGTCTCGCAAAGACGTAGCCTTTCCTTCGAGAACAACAGAAGGTCCCCCAACCCAATGGCGCCAACAGCCGTGCCGTCACCTCATCGACCCGCTCGCCATTTCATCTCGGCACCTTTGGCGTTCAGCGATTGCCAAAGGAACCGAATTCCAAAAACGTCAGCTCCTGAAGAAGGTAGCCCAGCACCGTGCAGCGAAACGTCGGCGACCGCGCATTGAGTCGCACGGCACGGCCGCTGAGAAACTCACAGCGGTAGTAGTGCCAGCGTCAACGTGTATATGCATCAACTTGAGTGGGCTGCGAATATTTTTTCTCAAAATTTGCAAACCGAGAATTGGTTAGGATACCCGGCTTCTGTGGAGTATACATTTGCTGATCTCGTTAATGCATCGCCGATCTCGTCGAGGAGCAGAAACCATCATGCTAACTCCAGTCATCCTCGCAGCAGCAGCGACAGGAAGTCACTGGAGCTCTGCACTTTTAAATCATCTAGATTGAAAACCCATTTCTTCACAACTGCGTTTTTGTGTTCAGTTTGTTGTCCTTCCCCCGCAACCTCCGATTAGCACTGTCGGCTACGTACAGCGGGAAAGAATTTCAAGATCCATCCATCCATACAACGTACACACAACATACATACAAACATTCCACTTGTGATGCTCGGAGGAGTCGGTTACTAGTAACGGGGAAAACAACACGTTCTAGAGGGTTCTGAAAGCCTCTTAGAGATTCGCGCTGACCGTCTTGCGTAACGAGCGCACGCACGCTCGCGCGATTCTGTCGGGGTGCCGGCTCTCTGGAGATGAGTGGTGAAAGGGGGTCTCTGAAGGTGTGAAAAGGCAAGCCATTGATTTCTGAAAGGCAGGCCAGCAAAGCCAGTGCAGCGTATCTGCACTGTATTAATCGCAATCTTTGCTGTGATATCGCGCTGGCAGCGGTGCACAAGCACAATAAAAAAATATTCCACATCGAAAGCGATGTTCCAGGCAGTGGCCCCTGTTTGTCATTATCCCATCTTGCCATTAAGCAGGGCCAGTATCCAAAACTTTGTAGGCATTTGTTTTTTCTCTTTCAGGGCACTGTCATTGCCGAATGCGTTGATTTAGTTGTTTTTATACGTATGTATGTACGTTCGCAAACTGATATCTACTTTCAAAACTCCCCCGCACATCAGTCATCCATGCACAAGAGCACGGTGCTTAACGACTAACTGCTGTTCGACTACGCAAAAAAATGCGGCTATATTAAATGTTTATCCAGGCAAAAACCTCGACCGAGAACGAATCCCTTTTGTTATCGTGAATTTTCGAGCACCTTTTGCCCGAGGTGGAGAAAAAGTGCAGTGCACCGAATTAGTCACCATGTGCAGGAAACAACATCACTCGCAAATCCATAGAGGCGACCGGCCCTACTTGACGCACTGCTTCCTCCTACAGCTGGGAAGCCTCACACTCCAGGATCCCCTCCAACATTCTGCCTTACGGGCATACACCGCCAGAGCAATAGCAATTAACTGCGTTTGTGCTAATAGAATTTACGGCACTTTGCCAATCGGCGACGGGATAAAGGCCTCCTCGTGTCATGGCAATTTCAGGATTTGTTTGACCGTACCGCACCACGCTTGATCAGCGGAGGTTAACGAAGTTGGTGGCTCGGCACCGGTTCAGATTTGGCTCACGACTGATGTTAGCCGTTGATGGAAACTGAACTCAGTTTGCCGCGTTTAAAGTTGGGAGTGCGCCAACCACCGCACGACTACTCCCCGCTTAATGCGTACTGTATCTACAATGTAATCATCTATATGCTAATGGAATTGTAACTTTGCGACGGTGTGCCCGACAAGACCGGTTGACAAAATCGCTCGCCGTTGAACGTTAGCCACGGCCGGAAATCGAATTCAGTCCGGCGCTCAACTCGGAGCTCGGAGCGCAGCGCGCGAACCGCTGAGCCATCCGCTGCCAACCTAAAAATGGATTGAGAACACCTTTCCTAAACGGTCGCAGTCACTGACCCCCAAGGTGCGGAGCCGAAATGCCAAGCAGGTTGAGAAAGGAAGCGGCATACCTATTGGCGTGATGGATGGGACCTTCTGTTGTTCTCGGAGAGAAATTGCATTTTTTTTTTTTCGGGAGATACACTGCGGGTAATCACTCACCGGCGGCCGCGCAGTCGGGCACGCTACACGAGACCATTTTTTCGCGCAGACTCCACGCGCCGCGCCGGGGGGGCCCGATGAAAAGGGAAATCCTCGCTCGATCCACGAGGCCACACAATAATCACGGGCGTCTAATCACATTGCCGACCCGGTAGCGTGTCGTTTATTTAATCAGCATAGCCTCAATCGAAAGTTCCGTAATCTAATTTTTGAGAAAGCTAATTGCATTCTCAAGCATACATCCCCGCGATTTGATTACGGGGAAGCTTCATTTTGATTTTGGTGGCGGATGGGCAGCAGGGGGGGGTGGGGGGCGGTGCAGAGGGGGCGCTGCTGATGCTGAATGGTAAATGCAGTTTATAAATAACCCGAAGAGTGGAAAAATCTATCTAAGAAACGGAATTAAAGTGACACCGTGATAGATGCAGTTTGCCCAAAGAAGCAGGGCTGGGGGTGAAGAGAATTAAAATGCGGGTTATGCCAATTGTGGGAATGTCGCCTACGTAGACAGCTGGGGAGAGATTTCCTCCGCCCACTATAAACTCAAACCAGACTCGCCCTCCGTAACCCCAATGTGCAGCCAATGTTGTGCGGGTTTGAGGTATGTTGGAACGGAAAGGTTGTGGAGAGTTGCGGGTTGTGATTTCATTAAGCACAAGACCGTAACTGCTTTCCCCTTTTCGAGTCAAGGAATCATATCCCATGATGCCACAGGAAAGGTAAAAAAATAAAAATTCAAGGCGCAGCCTTGTAACTGCTTGCTCACACAACTGTTGGTGGAAGGGCTTTCACTAGCGCAAGCTTTATACAGCTCCCTTCTGGAGGGTATTTGAACCAACTCTTCCATACCGGCCAGACGTTGGAAGTGGTGGGAATACCCACAACTTTACCCCACCACACGCATCTGTCGATTGACTTACGGTGGTGAACCCAGGTCACTGCTGGGTGGACAAGAGGCGGTGGTTGGGGTGGGGTGATTTAATAAACTCGCTCCCGTTGTTTCAACTGCCGCGCTGGAAGATCGAATTGAACCGGCGACCCTTGGGGTTGCACGTCCGGTGTGCTGACCTTCACACTACCGTGGCAGCTGCCACGTGAAAAGAAGATTTGATCAACGCAATCGGAGCCGTGCATACCCTACAGACATCAACATATCCGCTGTCTCTCTCCATCACTAATCTCGTCGTCGTCGCCATCATCGTCATTCGTCACCATCTCATTATGGGCATGAGGACATCAGCAGCCAAATGCCGAGCCGCAATTAATGTCGAGAGATGTTTTATTACGCGCCGCTTCATTGCCGAGAAGACACGAAGCTTGTTCTGTTAACGCCGTCCTAATGAGATGCTGCGTTGTTCGCCCGTGGCCCCAGCCCTGCTCTCCCTCCCTCCTGGCTCTCTCACGATT